CTGGTTTTTCAGGTTCTTTTGGTTTCTGACATTGAGCTTGGTTTAAGTGCACAGCTCCTTGAGGCCAAGGTGCCTTCCATGTGCTCTCTCTTCCCATTGTCACCCCCTTGAGTAGGGTCCCCAGCACTTCTCAGGAGGATCACAGCACTTGTGTGGGAGGGAAGAGCTCACCCCGATGGCAGGCTTTGGGGTAACAGGTCAAGGACTGGGGTAAGAGGTGGCAAGCCTGCTGGCTTTTTGTCAGTGGTCCTCACCTCTTCCTACTCACAGACCCAGTGTCCTCCCTGCCATGCACAGAGCAGCCCAGCTCCAGGTTGCTACCCTGTGAGATCAGCAGCTCAGGGTGCAGAGGGCACCCAGCTCCTCCGAACACAGAGGAAGAGCCTCAGTGCTGCCCTGGGCAAACCAGCCTCTGCAGGTCCTTTCAAGCCAGCAGAGGAAATGGAAGATGTCATTGTCCCACTGTAGACAGAGCAGGACTCATCTGTCCCCCGTCACCAGCGGCCTCCACCCAAGGGCACTGCATGCACTCTGATTAGCTGTCTCTCCCCACGCTGCCTGGCAAGGCCCATGGGACTGCTCAGCCCAGGGGTGAAGAGGGCAGCCAATTTGCATGGAACCCAGAGCCACATAACCTTGCTATTCAGCCCCCTACTGCCCTGGCCCTGACTTCCCACACCATAACCTCAACTCCAGAAAAAGGCACGTGCTATACACCCCTCCTGACCTCTTCTGCTTCCACCTCCCATCCATCCCTGGGTCCCTATTTACTAATCAATCAGGGTTGAGGGATTTCCTGTTCAGACCTCTGGTGTGAATTTAAAGAGATACACAATGCTTCCATCTCTCCTTACCCCCTCCCCACTGGTGCCAGGCAGAGCCCAAACCTCAGTCCCTAAGTCTCAGGGACATGCTGCCTGCTCCCTGATACCAGGGCCAGCAGGTCTTACTCTCTTGGCTTGGAGTCCTTACTCCTCTGTTCCCCTGCCCAGCCTCACTGAATGAACATTCCTGTTTAAAACTGGAGTAGGGACCTGAGGGGGCCTAGACGTGGCTCTCCAGCCTCAGGTGTGTCATGAATCATGTTCTTAGGTGCTTAAGCCCCAACCTGGAGTCAAACTGAGTCCTTCCTTATCACCCATGCTGAGTACCACACCTGGAAGAGACCACTGCTTTGAATCTCCTTGCTACTGTGTTCGTTAAACTGGTGTGAGGCCTAATGCGTGCTTTAGGGATTGGATGGGGAGTGGGCAGGGCCTCACAGAAGGTGCTGGGGGAGCCACGGTTTCTTTGTTGTCATTTATTCAGTGCTGGACCTTGTGCTAGGCACTGTTCAAGGCCTGGGGGTCATGGAGTCACCCACCCAGGCAAGGTCTCTCCCTGCCCTCCCAGAGTTCCCAGTCCAGCAAGGAGCAGGAACCGTAGCCAGGAGACCATCAAGGATAAAGCATGCATGGTGACAGAGTGTAGGGAGGGGCCAATGTGGGCACACAGCTGGTCAGGGAAGTCTCCTGTCAGCAGCAGCATTTAGGCCAGAAACCTGAAGGGCAAGGGCAAGCCGGCTTGGGGAAGGCAGAGACAAGTCCAGACAGAAGACAGGTCAAAGAGGCTCAGTGCACTCAGAAGCATCAAAAGCGCTTAGCTAGAGTGGTGGGAATGCAGAAGGCCAAGAGGGTAGGGACTGTCAGCGGCAGGCAGACATCCTGGGTGACCTCAGAGACAGGCCTGTGGGCCAAGGTGAAGAGACCCGAGTCTTATTCCAGGTGCACTTCCAGGGAAGCCTTTGAAGGCAGGGTTTTATTTTACAAAGCTCCCCCTGCTGCTCCATGGAGAATGGGCTAGGGTGGGGGCAGCAGAGGCAGCAGGAAGGCCAGGGAGGCTGGAGCAGGTGCCCAGCTGAGAGGTGACTCTGGCCTGCATAAGTGGGTGTCCAGACATGGGAGAGAAGCAGATGTTCTCAAAGCCCATGGTGGACTTAAGACTGACAGTGTGCTGATGGAATGTCAGATCTCTGGTTTGGAAACAGTTGAGTAGAGAACTGGCTGTGGCTCTGCCCTGGCACCCTGCTGACCTTGCACATACCCACATAGGCCCTATAGCCAAGGCTTGGCTGCAGCCTGACCTAAGTGTCAGCAAAGAATATCCAGGAACTCCTCCTTGGAGCAAGGGGAGAGGAGGCTGGTGAGGAGCCACCACGAGGCCTTTCTCAACAATCTTCCTAGTTACACACACAGCCCAATCAGGGGATAGCCACAAGCTATAAAATTGCTTGGCTGTAATTTGGAGGCAGCCCCTCAATGGTTGAGAGGCCCACACTCCCACTGTCTGTCACCTGGCCACCCGGTTCAGTGTTACACTGTAGGACAAGGCATGTGGGAACTGACCTTGCCTGTGCTGTCTGTGTAGATGAGAAACTGTCTGAATCCATGCAGCTGTTTCTTCTCTGGGTCTCTGGAAGCATGGCAAGCCCATCCAGCACCTACAGTACTGTTAGCCACCTTGCAGCTGCTAGAGGACTACTTCACTGCCTGACAGATTGGTGCCCAACATGGGTTTTTGCAGACAACACAAAAACAATGTCTTTTTGGAGAAAAGACACCAGAGGCCCACATGGTTAAGCTGAGGGATATAAAAGGACTCCTCAGAGCCTGTAGGGCCTGCAGTCACCCAAGTGGGGGTGAGGAGGGGAATGAGGGTGCCCCCCTGTCTGGTCTAGTAGGCCGTGTCTGGAGGCTGAGCACCATGCAGTGGGATTGAAACCAGCCACCAGAATGTCAGCTACTTGAAACTTAATTACAGTGAGCCTGGGATGCAGAGCTGCTCCCTCCCTCCAGGCCCCATCTCTACTTCCCTTCTTCTGCCCTCAGCTGCAGTAAAGAGAAAAAAAAATCCCCGAGCACAAGCACTCTCTGGATTTCCAGAGAGGACGAGAAGCTGCAGTGGTCTGTGAAAGCCAGTTTCCAGCCCGCACTCCCAGAGATCCGGCCTGCAGTTGGCACGATCTCCTGCCCTACCACCAGCCACGGCTGACACAGCCCCTGAAGTGCAGGGCTAACTCATAGGTCCCTGTCCTTGCAATAAGCAATCGCAAACCTCAAGGTAGCTGATAGGAAGTGGGCAACACTGACAGTGAGTTTACCATGATCTTATGAGCCTTCTGGCCCATTCAATGTCCTGCTGTAGAAACACAGAACTGGAGTAGATGTGTTACACATGTCCCCATTAAGGCTCATGAGGCATCAGGGAAAGGTCACTGTTCAGGGCGCCACCACACATAAAAGTGCAGAGGCACAAACCACCCTGCATGAGCAACCAGCAGTTGGGTCAAAATTCAGCACCAGGCAGAATTCTATCCTCTGATGAACTGATTCACTCTACAGATGAAGTCCTTGGCATTCTGAATACAGCAATTCCTGACAGACACATCTCAGTATAAGGCATCTTGAGTGCCAATTACTGGCTCAGGACTCAGCACCTGTGGACAATTAGACACCAACCTCCAATGCGGTGTTCCTCTCCAGCACCCCCACTATGGCATAAAGTGGACACTGCCTAACAAGCAGCCATCATTCAATGAAAATAACAGATCTGGAAAAAGGAGTAAACCACCCATTGAATCTCCCACTGTATGTAAGGTTGCCAGTCACCCCCTGGGCAAAACCATCCTAGATGTGGGGGCTATGCCAGCATCTCTGGCTCCTTGTGAGCTTCAGTACACCAAGATGCCTGAGGATGCTGGGCCTGACTCACAGACCAGCCAAGATCAAGGGCCTGCTGGCTGGGCAGCCACAGGAAGCTGCTTAAAGCTATGTAAGAGGATACTCTACCACCTGGGCAGAGTTGCATATTATGGTGCTTGTCCTGGAAAACACTCCCCAGGCCCCCAAGAAGGTACCTTGTTACATTTTTACCAACTTGTAGTTGGTAGTCAATGGGCTGACAGTGTGGCCTGGTACCTGACAATGAAACAGCTGAATAATGAAGTCCCAACCTCTGAGGGACAAGCATTACAGCAGCAAATTGCACAGGACCTCTGCCCTCCACTGAGACCCAGATGGATGCCCATGTAAAAGGACCCTTTGGCAATGGGCAGCAGTGGAATTGTCAGGCCTGACTGTAACTCTAAATGAATCCTTTCCCCAGTGCCAAGGGCAGTCCTGCCCCTTGCCTATCCCACAGTAGGCAGCCATCCCTCTGGGAGAGCTGAGGGCCGAGGCCACACAGCCCCTGCCTGGAGAACCTTTACTTTATTCACTCTGTGCACTGCTAAGTCCCCTCCAGCAGCGACAAGTCACTGCTGACTGGCCCTTGCTCCCACTCCCTCCAGCCTTCACTGCCTCCGAGCACCCTCAGGAATGATTTGAATATGCAGAGGCTTGGTCAGAATTTGGGTCTTCTAGATGTCAACTAGCTCCCAGTTTGCATTAGTTACGGACTCGGTTTCTGCAGCTTCCTTGTCCCACATGCCCAGCAAGCAGTCTGCTGGTGCCTTCCTGAAAGGAGAGCCAGCCATTCTCACCTTGTTTGCTGTGTTCGACACCATATCCCACTCGGAACATAGCTGTCATCCAGGAGGCCCCTGGTGAGGCTTGCTGACTGCGGGAGGAAGTCAGTCCATGCAGGGACTTCATGGAACCACCCTGTGCCCGTCCCCTTCAGGACGACACATCCATCACCCACAACTGGTCAAAAGCATTAACCTGGCCATAATATGGCATCTCCTGAAGTGGGGGCTCAACACTCTTACAGACTGGCATTACTGCCAGGTGCGGGTGGGATACTAGGCCAGGAGGGCCAGGCCTGAGCCCCTGGTGCCCAGGTAAGGTCACCTGAGCCCTGGGAGCACATCTTTTTGTCTTTCCTTTCTCCTGAGGCTTTGACATCAGCTTCCTGTCTACTCCCCACCCGAGTTTGGCCTCACCTCCATTTCCCTGTGGGTCCCTGCCTGTCCTGGTCATGCCTGAGTGCTTCTGTTGGTAGGTACTGCCCTGACTGGGNACAGTGAGTTTACCATGATCTTATGAGCCTTCTGGCCCATTCAATGTCCTGCTGTAGAAACACAGAACTGGAGTAGATGTGTTACACATGTCCCCATTAAGGCTCATGAGGCATCAGGGAAAGGTCACTGTTCAGGGCGCCACCACACATAAAAGTGCAGAGGCACAAACCACCCTGCATGAGCAACCAGCAGTTGGGTCAAAATTCAACACCAGGCAGAATTCTATCCTCTGATGAACTGATTCACTCTACAGATGAAGTCCTTGGCATTCTGAATACAGCAATTCCTGACAGACACATCTCAGTATAAGGCATCTTGAGTGCCAATTACTGGCTCAGGACTCAGCACCTGTGGACAATTAGACACCAACCTCCAATGCGGTGTTCCTCTCCAGCACCCCCACTATGGCATAAAGTGGACACTGCCTAACAAGCAGCCATCATTCAATGAAAATAACAGATCTGGAGAAAGGAGTAAACCACCCATTGAATCTCCCACTGTATGTAAGGTTGCCAGTCACCCCCTGGGCAAAACCATCCTAGATGTGGGGGCTATGCCAGCATCTCTGGCTCCTTGTGAGCTTCAGTACACCAAGATGCCTGAGGATGCTGGGCCTGACTCACAGACCAGCCAAGATCAAGGGCCTGCTGGCTGGGCAGCCACAGGAAGCTGCTTAAAGCTATGTAAGAGGATACTCTACCACCTGGGCAGAGTTGCATATTATGGTGCTTGTCCTGGAAAACACTCCCCAGGCCCCCAAGAAGGTACCTTGTTACATTTTTACCAACTTGTAGTTGGTAGTCAATGGGCTGACAGTGTGGCCTGGTACCTGACAATGAAACAGCTGAATAATGAAGTCCCAACCTCTGAGGGACAAGCATTACAGCAGCAAATTGCACAGGACCTCTGCCCTCCACTGAGACCCAGATGGATGCCCATGTAAAAGGACCCTTTGGCAATGGGCAGCAGTGGAATTGTCAGGCCTGACTGTAACTCTAAATGAATCCTTTCCCCAGTGCCAAGGGCAGTCCTGCCCCTTGCCTATCCCACAGTAGGCAGCCATCCCTCTGGGAGAGCTGAGGGCCGAGGCCACACAGCCCCTGCCTGGAGAACCTTTACTTTATTCACTCTGTGCACTGCTAAGTCCCCTCCAGCAGCGACAAGTCACTGCTGACTGGCCCTTGCTCCCACTCCCTCCAGCCTTCACTGCCTCCGAGCACCCTCAGGAATGATTTGAATATGCAGAGGCTTGGTCAGAATTTGGGTCTTCTAGATGTCAACTAGCTCCCAGTTTGCATTAGTTACGGACTCGGTTTCTGCAGCTTCCTTGTCCCACATGCCCAGCAAGCAGTCTGCTGGTGCCTTCCTGAAAGGAGAGCCAGCCATTCTCACCTTGTTTGCTGTGTTCGACACCATATCCCACTCGGAACATAGCTGTCATCCAGGAGGCCCCTGGTGAGGCTTGCTGACTGCGGGAGGAAGTCAGTCCATGCAGGGACTTCATGGAACCACCCTGTGCCCGTCCCCTTCAGGACGACACATCCATCACCCACAACTGGTCAACAGCATTAACCTGGCCATAATATGGCATCTCCTGAAGTGGGGGCTCAACACTCTTACAGACTGGCATTACTGCTAGGTGCGGGTGGGATACTAGGCCAGGAGGGCCAGGCCTGAGCCCCTGGTGCCCAGGTAAGGTCACCTGAGCCCTGGGAGCACATCTTTTTGTCTTTCCTTTCTCCTGAGGCTTTGACATCAGCTTCCTGTCTACTCCCCACCCGAGTTTGGCCTCACCTCCATTTCCCTGTGGGTCCCTGCCTGTCCTGGTCATGCCTGAGTGCTTCTGTTGGTAGGTACTGCCCTGACTGGGCATGGATGCAGATTTGCCCTGGACTCCAGGCCCTTCAGTCTGACCTTTCCTGTTTCCACCCTATCTCCCACTGCTACTGATGCCAGCCCAAGGAGTGGCAGTGAGCTGTGTGTCTGGAGAATGGAGGGGGAGCAGGCACCCACCCATCACGCACCACTAACATGATGAGGCCAGGGTGGGGCCCATGGAGAAGGGTTGGGGAGGAAGAAGCTTCCTTCCTTAGGTTCCAGGGGTTTGTTGTAAGCTGGGCCTTCAAGGACAGAGCAGCCTGGGACCTCATGGGATTGGAGGGCATTTCTGGGGGACGGAACAATGAAAGGCAGGCCTGAGAAAGCAGGGGAGTAACAGATAGGTTTGGCTACTGAAGGGAAAATGACTGTGGGGAAATCAGGGGTTGAGAGGTTCCTGAGATAGCATGTGGCACTAGGGCTGCAGCTGGGGACAGGGGCAGGCCACCTGGGTCTCCAGGGTCAGGACTGCAGTTGGAGGGAAGTGGGTGGTCAGGCTGTATGACTTGGGACACACATGCTCACAGAGCAGCCATCCAACCTCAGAGGCGTCCCTGTCTGTGTCAGCCCTACATCCAGGCCCTCAAGAGCAGGGCTGGTGTGGGCCTTCGCAGTCTGTCAAAGCTGCCTGTGGGGCGTCAACCCAGTGTCTCCCTTGGCCTCTCATCTCTGGCCCGAGTAACCAAGAAGTCCTGTTTGGGACTAATTCTGAAGAATTTCATCACTCCCTCAGGATCGTTGCCAAAAGAACCCTCATCCTGGGGAAGAGATGGGGACCAGAAAGGTGGAAGGTGGAGAGCACCTGAGCTGGGCCCCACCAGGCCACTTCTGACACTGGCCAACTGCCAAGGTGCTAGAGCCCCTGACCAGAACCTGACTTCCAGAGCGGACACCAGTGTGCTCCCACTGCAGCTGAAGGGGATCCTGCAGCAGCTGGGAGACATCACCATGCGGGTCGCAGTGGGAGACCTGTTTCCATCAGCCTCCCTGAGGAACCCCGCAGAGCAGGTGGTTATCACCTGGCTCCAGGTGTCTCCTCTGTAAAGGAAGCAGACAGCAGTTGTCAATTTCCTGCTCCAGGGTTTTGTTGTGAGAGGGTCTGATACAGCCTTGGCTGCCCTTGGAATTTCCCAGGGCCCTGTCCAGAGGCTCCAGTCCAGTTGGCACTGGGCGAGGTCCAGTGAGGAGGTGCTGGAAGGGTCCTGGTGAATCTTCAGTGCACCAAGAACGCATGGACCCTGAAGAAGGCTGGCTGGTATGCAGGGGTCTCTGGAGTGAGGTTATATAGCATTGCACCAACTCAGGGCTGCCCTGAGGCAAAGCTGTTCTCACTAGTCAAGGGACAAGAACTTGCTGGTGACCCCTGGAGAGGATTAAAGTGCTAATGAGCTGCCACGTCCGGGGTCAGCGTGAAAGCCCATGGCATCCTGGATGTCCTCACTCTCCATTAGTTCTACACCCTTCTAGGGACCTTCGTGGAAACACCACAGGGGGTTCTGGAAAAACCAGAGCACAAGACCTTCCAAGCCACCACGTTTGGTGGAACCAGCCAGAGAAAGCTTCACCCCCACCCCCACAGCCCCACAATGTCTCTGGGAGGCTGTGGGTGTCTCCCAGCCACCCTGCACCTTGAGGCTCCCAGTGTGGATTTGGCCTTGGGCTCATGTGTGGCTGTTTTCTGGAGCTTCCCTCAGCTCTACCCTTGAAGGCTGGGGTCGGTGCTTCATTTATTGAAGACATGCCTGGGAGCCAAGAACAACCTGGCTTGCGTACAGGCTACACCTGCAGGGTGGGCCCGGCTTGTTCTCAAGGTTACACCCCCACATAAATCCACCCTCTCCCCATGCCTCACTGCTGGACCTCTGCAGAACAGTCACCCTGTGTACTGGCACACATTTCTTGTTGAGCAGAGGGAGCCCCTGCTGATCACTTGGGTCAAGCCCCTCGATGTGGGAAAAAACTGAGACCTAGCAGGGATGAAGCTGCCCCAAGACCCAACTCCTGCATCTTTGGGTCCCACACTAGCTCCACTGTAAACAAAGTATTTCCCTCCCAAAGGCACCTGTGCTCCCAGTGGCCTCCCCTGAACCCCCACAGTATCCTCAGCTAGAGATGCTTCTTGATCTGGGCACAGGCCAGCCTCATGCTCCTGCTGCCCTTTTCACGTGCAGGTCCACAGAGGTCACAGCTATGTAACTCATGAGCGACTTGGGCACTGCTGGCAGTGATAAAGGCAAGGTAAGCTTCCTCCCACTGCCCTCCAGCTTACTCCAGCACCTCCCCGTCCCCCAGCTTGCTCCAGCACCTCCCCGTGCCCTCCAGCTTACTCCAGCACCTCCCCGTCCCCCAGCTTGCTCCAGCACCTCCCCGTGCCCTCCAGCTTACTCCGGCACCTCCCCGTGCCCTCCAGCTTGCTCCAGCACCTCCCTGTGCCCTCCAGCACCACTGTTTACATCACAGTACGTGGACTGCAGTTCAGAGCCCTCCAAACCCACACCTTCAACTGCCTACCCAAGGAGGGGACGGCCTTGCCAGAGGCCACCCAGCAAATCAGACTGAACTTTAAGAGGCCAGCTTGGCCCTGAGGCAGAGTCAGCAAGGAGCAAGGTTCCAGGAGACCACTCATGGGAAAGCGGCTCTATAAACAGAGTGGTTAGTAGCAGCTTGGAGCCTCTGACACTGAGTGGAGAAACAGGGAGCACGACCAACTGTGACAGAAGAATTTCAGTTACAGCCTAGCTGAGTCACGTCAGACTTCCAGAAGGACTCCAGGATCCAGCAGTTGGTGGGGAGGAGGAGATCCTTGACAGACCATCCTGTCCACTATTTTATAGACTGCAATACTGAGGCCCAAAGAGCCTTGATAACTTGGGAGCAAGGTTCAGGCAAGGAAAAGCCAGGGCTCCTTGCCCCCAGCCTGTGAGCTGCTGCAAGTCAAGGTCATCTGGGAAGGCCTGGTGATGGGTCAGGGGTACGCCTGTCACCTGACAGACAGCAGCAGCGTCTGCCTGAAAGAGACTGTACACCCATTTCCTCCAACAGCTGCCTCCGGGGGCCCATCCTGCTCTCTGGCCCATGGGCCATGCTCGCTCCCACGAAGTCCAGGGCCGCCCTCTCAGTTCTGCAGTTTGTCCAAGAAAGGCTGAGCTACAAGTATTCCCTGGAATCCCAGCGGATGGGCAAGTGGTGCAGCCTCATGTCTTCCTTCTGGATGTGCTCGTAACAGGACTGTGGGAAGAGGTAAGCTGAGGCTAGCTGGCCTGCCCACTCTGTTATCCGCACAGAGGGCCTGATGCTGGGGTGCACCCACCTCCTGGGAGTTGGACCACTGTGTCTGCAACTCAAAATGGGGACTTCCCTCTCCTGTGCTCAGGGATGCAGCCTGGAACACACTCAGGGTGCTGGGGACCCAAGGGCTGTGTTGCAGTGTGGGGCTACCCCCCCCCACCCCGGCTCCTTTTAACTAGGGCAGGACCAGGGGCTCTGTAGGACCCTTCCCATGGAGCAACACATGAGCTGTGAATCCGAGTTCACCCCCGTGAGGGGGTCTGGGCAGGGAAGGAGTCTGCCCCAGCGGCCAGGGCATTCCTGCCGTGGCCCTCCACCTCTGGCCCTCACCTCCAGGGCTGTGAGCAGGAAGTCATACAGGCCTCCTGTGTGGATGGGGTTCATCATGTCACGGATCAGGTGGATCTCAGCTCCTAGGTGCTGGATTCTGGAGGACAACCACCCCCACAGTGAAAGGGAGAAGGGGGCCCACCAAGGACAGGCCCTGAGCACCTGAGAACAGACCCGTGCTCAGCTGACTGGCCACCTGGGGTCCCTGCCCTGCTTTTGAAATCCATGGGACCCAGGGTTGGCCTCTCTGGGCCTCAGCTTCCCCTTAAGTACCAAGAAAGGCTGCACTATAAACCCCAATGTTCTTGGTTAGGGGTGGGGCAGGGTGGGAAGGGTCCTCCTGCAGCTCAACCCCCAGCTCCTGGCCTGGTGGAGCTCACCGGGCACGTGACACCACGTAGATGAGCAGTGGCAGCAGGTCATCCATGGGCAGCTTGTGCTCCTGGCCCAGCACCCGTGACACAGTGGTCTCAATTTCCCCGTATGTCCTCTCCAGCACCTTCAGCTTCTCCTGGGGGTCCACTGTGGTGCTACAGCAGGGTAGCTGGCTCAGATCATGGCTCTCAGGTTCAGTCCCAAGAAGGGCCCCAATATTCCTGCCACTTTCCCCCACCATCCCAGAGGCACAGACTCACATGATCTTCTGCAGACACTCAGTGGCTGACAGGAAGCACTTATCCCTGACCAGGGAGTATCTCTGCATGATGGGGGAGCACGTTGGATGAGGCCATGGTCCCCCAAGCTCTGTCACCTCCTTCCTAGGGTTGGGGCTGGCCCTGAGCCCCTTGCCACCCACCTCTTCTCCATCACTGATTCAGCACAGCCCTGCCCAGAGATTGAGTGAAACAGGGTAAATTACAGCTCCACTGTGAGCCTCAGTTTACCCAACTGTAAAGTGGCTTAAATGGTCTCCAGGAGGTTGAGAGGATCAAAATGGATAAAGAAGATAATAACCATAACCACCAATGGTCACAGGGGGCTGCCCAGTGCTAAGTGCCTACAGCAATGACTCTTGAACCCAACAACTTGTTGCAACACAAATTCCAGGTCCACTCCCTGAGTTTCCGACTCAGTAGGCCTGGAGTGGATAAAAGAATCTGCTTTTCTAACAAGTTCCGGATGATGCTGATGTTGCTGGTCCAGCAAGCACACTTCGAGAACCATTCCTCATGTGTACATGCCCACTTCCCCTCACGACTATCCACGAGGTAGTACTAGTACTGCAACAGGGGGCCCTTTCACAGATGAGGAAACTGAGGCACAGGACAAAGTATCTTTCCCATGGTTGCACCAGTAAAAGGGGCACAGCCTGTGTTTGTGCCTGGCCATGGTGGGCCAGCAGCTGTACCCTCCCTTCAACAGTGGGTATCAGATTGACACAGGAAGCCTGGTATCCCCCTGCTCACCCACCTATGCCCCACCCCCGCTTCTCTGCAGCCTCTGACCAGCGATCAAGAGGCAGAGTGCTGCCTGGAAGCCTGAACAAGTTTTGGGTGCCCAGCTAGGGCTCAGGCCTCCCTCTTACTGAGGCAGGTAATGGGCCCACCCTCTCACCTGATTGGTCGACAGTTTGAGGTCTTTGAGTGGCCACAGGTGCCTGAAATTAAACAAGTGAGACAGGAGGCTTTGCCAGGAAGAAGGAAGGAGCAGGGTCCTAAGTCAGAGGGCAAATTCCCTGTGCACCATGTTTCCCAGCATAGCAGAGCACAGGAAAAAAGGTCCACTAGAACTTCAATGGAGCTCAAGGCAAAGAGAGGCTGGAAGGAATTCCTGCAGAAGGCAGCACTCCATCCTGCACTGAAACATGAATAGGGCTTGGACAATGTAAAGAAAAGACAGAGGGGCAGAGCTGCAGGCCATGGGGCCCTCACAAAGTCCTGTTGGTCAGGCCACAGGGTGACAATGGAGGAGACTGTTCTGAAGGCTTGAAAGACCAGTGCAGGCTAGTGGGCAAAATGTAATGCAACACGGATAGGACCCAGAGACAGTGAAGCAAGGAGGCCAGAGTGGAGGAAGCAGCACAGAGGTGGCAGGAGTGGGTCGGGAGGAGGACCACTTGGGAAGCTGCTGGTGAGCAGGTCTCTTGGCCAGTAACTGGTCAGATTCAGGAAACATTCACCATGACAAAAGAGGAAACAGGATTTGGGGGATGAGTCGGAAGCACCATCACTGTGTGACAAAGGAGACCAGTGTGGGAGGAGAGAGCATCCATGCCCTCTGTCAGGCAGAGGATCACTCGCATTAGAAGAGGCACTGAGAAGAAAGGATATCTTGGGGATCAAGAGTAAAGGGGGGTCCTGACCTGCTTCCAGAACAGCCCTCAATCTCCCCCTTGAGGATCTGCCCTTTCCCAAGAGCCAGAAGCAGACCTTCCTTGCTCCAGCCCCAGTGGTAGATACTGAGGCAGGCCTGGTTAATCTGGCAGCATTCAGAGGCAGACTCAAGGCCCAAGCCAAGACAGTGAGGGATTTTAGGGGCCATGCTAGAGCTTTGGGGAAGGATACACCAACTCCCTGTGGGTACAGTGGGGGGACTGAGCTGGAAGGGTATAAACCTCAAGTGGCTAGTGCCATATTTATCACCGTAAGGCAGGGGGAGGAGCAGAGATGAATGAACAAAGAGAGAAGCTGTTTCCCTCTGCCCTGTGGCTAGGCACCTAGATCCAGCCACACCTGAATCTAGCCACCCCCATATAACTCTAGAACTTCTTGGGTACATGAGCCAATTCACACACACCCCTTTTTTGCTGAAGGCAATGGGAATTGTGTCTGTATCCTCTGCAACACAGAGCACTGGCAAACATGGCATGGAGGGAAGTCTTACTTCTGCACATCGAGGAACTCAAGTAGCTTGGTGTCAGGGAAGAGGCTGAGGTTGATGATGCCCTGGCTGTAGAGACTGTCCTCCCTCTCATGAAGAAGTAGGTAGAGAGTGAAGAGCTCTGAGTAGAAGCTGGGCAGCACGAGGGGCAGCACCAATGCATGCACCTGCAGGTCCCTGAGTGAAAACAACCAGGACAGGTTGGGGGGGCTCTTGGGGGTGGGGAGCACTCCCTGCACTGCCCTTCAAAGAACCCCCAGAGCTCGTCATTCCACAACAGTATCACTACCTTCAGCCTCCTCCACTCCCTAGAATACCCTTCCCAAGCCAGTCATTCATCACTCAGTTGATATCTGTGGCCACCTCATTCTCTCATTTGACTCTGAAGAGAAGCATGGCACGTGGGGCAGAATTTGATTCCCATATGATTGAAAGCAACACTAGGGCTCTGGATGGACAAGTGACAAGTGACTTTGTCACTTGCAGCAAAGCACTCAGCAGCCATTCTAGGCTAGTCCGGTGGCTGCCTCCTAGTTTTCTGAGCTTCCTAGGACTCCAGGGGGAGCATTCTCCCTAAGGTCTAACCCCATTTCCCTTGTCTCTTGCAGTACAATGACAGAAAGGCCTGTCTGATCAGGATCTCTGTGCCTGGAATCTGAAGGGATAGGTCTGAATAGCTCTGTGCCTGGAATCTGAAGGTTTGGTCTCAGGAAACCAGGGGAGATAGATTTAATGACCTATTTAACTCCTGCTCTGTCACCTCAGGCTCAGCCTGCCAGGCCTGTTTCCCCATGTGTGTGCAGGGACAAAGAAGGCATCTAAGGCAGTTGCTCACCTTCTGTACACCTGAGAGATGAGGCCGAGATAACACATTTAGAACACAGATGCATTTAATGCATTGTGGCTGTACCCCCTCCTGTGTTGCTCAAGGAACAGATGTCATGGGTCATTCTAATCCTTGGATGGTCAGTGAATCATGCTTGGTGAAGCATGAACCTCCAACACTTACCCAAAAGTGCCCCTTCCCCTGAGGGAGAGGACCCCACAGGCCCCATGGGAGCAGTCCCCCTGAGGGAGAGGACCCCACAGGCCCCATGGGAACAGTCACCTCGTCTCCACATCTTCACCTTTCTCTGGGGCCTGGCCCTTGCGCTGTAAGGCAACTTGCAGCAGACCCCTGAAAACCAATGAAAGAGGTATAGTGTGCTGTAACCCCCCACAGAACCCAGGTCACCAAAGGCCAAGCAGGGAGGCTCCACCCCTAGAACCATGCAGTGTGAGGCCTACAAAGCCCACAGTTAAGAGGGCTGAGTCCTAGAGCCCCACAGTAGCAGATCCACAGAATCTGGACCCCTAAACCTACTGTTTGATGGAATCACAGCTCAAATAGGATTGGAGATGGGTTCTGAGTCCAGGGTCAGGCTCAGTCTGCAGTGGGGTTAGAGTTCTCCTGGGGTTAGGGGTCAGCCCTGGGCCTGACTGTGCTCGGGCCTTGCTATCAATCTCCGTGCTCACCAGCTGTACATGACCAACCCACCTTTTGGTTCTTTCTTAATCCAGATGTGAGGTGAAGGCACCACTCCTGCCCAGGGTACCAGGCAGAGCTGACACCTGGAAAAGGCAGAGCCCCACCCTCCTGGGGTCACAGCACTGTGATTGTCCTCCGTACCACTGAGCTCACCTGTAGGCAGCCCAGAGTTCCTGGGCATGCTGCTTCACCTCCTCCTGGGCTAGCCCCTGCAGGTGCTTGTTGGCCCCAATGCCTGCATACGTGGCCTGGAAGGTGAGCATCAGCATCCGGAGCAGCTTTCCAAGGGGGTGCAGTGCGTTGCTCAGAGCCTGGACAGGAGAAAAAGCAACACGATTTCAGGAACTGGAGCACAGCATGCTCAAACAAGACTGCTCCCATTTCACTATTCCTTCCTCAGAATAACACTGAGGCCCTCTAATCAGCACCAGGGAGCAGTAAGGAGTCCCCTCCCCTAGGCCGCCTCCCCAGTGCCCTTACCTTCCTGAGGCACTGCTGCAGGGCTTCGGGTTCCCGGTTCAGTAGCAGGTCGTCTAGGATATCTTCTATTCTGCCCACACCATCCTCAGGCTGAGTCCTGGGGCACCATACACATGTCTCTCACCCACACATGGGCCCAGGTCTGCCCTCTCCAGGAAGCCTCCCACCCCAGCCCTCTCTGAGCCCCACTGACCCCAACCCTGGCCCTCTGGATGCCCCCATGGGTGCACATGCACATGCATGCGCATGTACACACACGTGCACGCGCCGGGGCCTTACCTCTCACAGAACAGGTACTCCTGGGACCTGCGCAGCTCCCTTGAGTTCTGCACGTGGAAGCCCAGCAGGGCCTCCTGAAGGTCCCCCGGGCAGCCAGCACGCACAAAGTCCTGGAAGGGGCCGTAGACGCCCTGCCAGCGGCTCTCCACGGGAAAGGCACCCAGACCCAGTTGCCTGCGATGGAGGCAGTGGAGGGTAGGAGTAGGGATGGAGCTGTGGTGGGCAGGACCCAGTCCAGGCCGTTGGAGAGGAGGGATATCCAGCCTGGCCAAGTCAGGGAAGGGTGAACGGACTGGGGGATGCAGCTTACCCCCAAGGCTCCAGGAGGAAAAAGGAGAGGCAGGGAGAGAGACAGAGAATCTACTCCAAGGTGGAAAAGACAGACAGGGGCACACAGAGCCCTGGAAAGCAGACAAAAAGATCTGGAGAGCTAGCTGGAGGACAAGTCCAGAGCATGGGATCTTAGCCTAAGAGAGAACAGGGCCAGAAGTCCAGGATTCCCCCACAGTGAGATCCTACTCTCCCTCCCACACCTGGTTCATTCCTGAGACCCAGCCGGAGCCTGTCTTAGCCAGCAGGCCTGGGAGTTGGGCTGCATGAGTGTCTAGCAGACACTGTCTAATGGAGCACTGCCCTCCCGTGTCACACTCACAGATTTTTCTACACTTGTACCCTACCTGGGTTTGGTCATGCCCCCAGGGTTTGCTCTCCACTCTTATTCCTGCTGTCAGTAAGCAGCAGCATGCAGAGATGGTGAGTTGTGACCAACTGCATCCTCTCCCCATATCTGAAATGCTGGCTGGGACATTAGAAATACTACCCATACCTCAACAGACATGGTTAGTTACCACATGAACTAGTTTTCTAAAGAAGAACTCTTTTCCCATAAGGAGAAGTCTCTCCCCTTCTCAAATATTCCATGGTAGGGACACTGATTCTACTGAGCAAGTTCCTTTATTTACTTTGGCTGCCAGAGAGCTCAAAACCGGGCTTCTGCTCATTCATAACAATTGAGGGGCTTATCTGTACCTCCCTTTCTTTTAGGCTTAACCATACTTTTATTTTCCATTTTATTCTTGTTTTTTATGATTTATAAGGTTATACCCTTCCCATTAAAAAAGCAGGATGTAAGCAAAGCCTATGGAGTTACCACTAACTACCCTTGACTTTAAGAGTCTCTGAATTGAAGGTTGTGTGACCTGGGCTCTCTGAACTCTCCAAAGAGCTAGGATGAAGAAAAGAAAAGCCCCTCTTATGACACCTGAGTCCTTGGGGTGGAAACACACACACACATACACAGACACATCCAGACGTGCTCCAGAATGCACACACTGACAGCCAGGCTCTCACCTCCTGCGGGTGCTGCTTGGGTCTGGTGGGAGGGCAGCTGTGTCCAGCACGCCCTGTGTATGCAGTCCTCTGCCTGCCCCACTGCCAAAAGAGCCCTCCAGGGTGAAGCCATTGGGGAAGGTGACCTTGCCCTAGAAGCCGGGAGAGGGAGGCAGGGGTGTATGTCCACCTGTCTGTCTGTCAGCTGTCCTTCTATTCAATCATGACAGGCCTTCATGTCTGTCCGTCCTGGGTCATAGAGGATGGGTGGGTGGACATGCCATCATCCATTCAATCTGCTCCAGCCTAAGAGCTCATAATCCTCCATCTCTAAGGAAATCCCCTCAATAGCTGCACCTGCCACCCAGGGACTCACCTCAGAGGTATGAGATGGGGAGGAAGAGAGGAAGGCACTCCTGGGTCAGAGTGGGGACAACCATCACTGTGGGGCTAGTAGGGGGAGGGGGCAAGTCCAGGAATAGGCAGAGGCCTAGGGAGGGTGTTAAGTACCACTGGCACTGGGGAGGGCAGTTCCCTACCACATGGGACTGTCCCTATCCATTAGATACCATAGTGCCCCACAGTCATTATGAAACCAAAATTGTGGCCACATTTCCAAAGGCCCAGCAGGGACACCACTCCTTGGGCTGGGGAGGCGGGGGCAGGAACATATTGAAGGCCAATGCTCCAGGACACCCACCCAAGGCTCTGCTGCTGCTGGTGGAAGGAATCCAGTTCCCAACTAGGGGCCTGTGGAGAACACAACCTCGATCCCAAAGCAAGGTGCCTGCCCCTCCTGACTCCTGCCAGGATCAAATCACACCTCCGCAGCAGGCAGGAGGCCCTGCACCTGCCTGCAGGACCTAGTGGAGACAGGAGAGGCCTTCCCCTACCTTCTTGGCCCACTGCCCACAGCCTTGGCTCTGGGTCTAAGCAGGGAGATTACAGACTCCAGACAAGGCCTCAGCAGGGAGTGGAGTAGGTCTCAGTGGCTCTCACCTTCCCAACAAGGGTCAGGTGTCTGGTAAAGGTGCCTTCGTACAAGGAGTCGTCTTCAGAGAGGAGGATCCCAGGGCCCTAGGAAAGAAACCAGGGAGAGCAGGAGCCGTAGGTCAGGAAAGGCAGGAGACTGAGAGGCGTGGGCAGTAGGTAAGGGAGAAGCAGGCACTAACCCACGGGCAGAAGGGGTCCTGGGCCCTGGCACACCTCCTAGCCCTGTGCTAGCCCTTGGCCTGCTGAGCGCAGGGTACCAGCCCTTTGGACCGCATCCCCGGGTTTCCCTGAATGACTCCCTAGGACCTGGCCCCTTCTCTCCAATGTTCTCTCTCTCAGGAAGCCTCCTGGGGGACCCTTCCTTCTCACCCAGGGCTCAGGAAGCACTGTGCTTCTCCCATACCATCCCTACTTCCCCATCACTAACCCTGGGGACAGTGGAACTGACCCGGCTCCCTCGCCACATTGGCTGCCAGGAAACTCAGAATCAAACAGGATACAATTTGTGTTCTAACTTATTTCTGAACCTATTTTATATGTCTATTCCTGTCTTTTTCTTTCTCTTTCAATCCTTTCCAAAACAAAGTAGACTTAAGCAAACAAATAAGCCATAGTAACAATAACAGCCTTCAGGCCAGAGCCCTACTATGCACCAGATACCTGGCAGGGTGTGGGTGAGGCAGAAGGCAGGTGCTGGGGTAGCCAGGCTCAGGAAACCAGGGTCTGAGTCCCAGCTCTGCCACTCAATAGAATGTGACACTGGTTCTCTGACCTCTCTGACCTCACCTCTATCATCTATATACTAGGTTTATAAGACTACAGGGAGGATCCCACAAGATTATGCTGGGAGGTCAGGCATGCAGAGCTAGGCACCCAGTTAGGGGGTCTATAAATGCCAGCTGTGGAGGCTGCTGGCATCATTGTGACCATACACTTCAATCATGCAGTTTCACTGAGTCTTTATGATAAATAGTTAACCTAAGCTGCTCATAGGGAAACTGAAGCTGCGAGGGGCAGGGACTTGGCCAAGGCCAGGTAGGTGGTTGGTGGAACTGGATTTTTACCCAGGATCTGGCTTCCTCCAACACCCAAGAACCCAGCTTCCTGCCCATCCACCTATGACCACCCTCAACTCAGCTTCAGGGCTCCCAGAGCAAGGACGCTCCAGAGTTCAGCCCCAACACAGGGAGAGGAGAGCTCAGAACACACACGGGTCACCATGCTCACCATTATCTTGTCTGCCTGGAAGGTGCCCTGATAGCAGATGCCCGCCTGGGTGACAAGAACCCCTGTGCCATGGCGCTGGTCGGCCTGCCACATGCCAATATAGCGCTCACCTCTGGAAGAGGAGGGGGCGTGGCCAGAGTTTGGTCAGAACTGTTCCCATGCACCTTCTGTGTGCTCTGCTGGCACGGCTCAGGGGGTTGGGGTGCAGATAAGGAGCAATGATATTGCCTGAATCCACTCAACTCAGACACCTGGCAGGTGAGGTGAGGATCCCCCGCCAAGAGGAAGAGAGGGAAGAGGAGGGAAGGAGCATGGCCAGTAGAGGGCATCCTGGCAGACTTCCCAGGGGAGGTGACAGATGGAGTGGGAAGTGCCATTCCCATGCATGCAAAGCCATAGAAGTAGGAGTGCACCACAGATATATGGGGACACTCAGTAATTAGCAGACTGGAGGGGTCACAGAAAGCACAGCAGGGGTGAGCTGAGAGTGGTAAACAAGGCCGTGAATGCCAGGCCAAGGACTCAGTGCCTTGTCCCACAGCCCAGAGAGCCTAGAAGGGCCATGACTTAGATGGGACTAGGTTAGGGAGTGAGAAACTCCTCTCCAACCACCCAAGGAGGGGGCCAGGGTGGGGAGGCTCCGGCAGTTGGGTAAGGCTCCCTCACCCTGAGCCTCAGCAACAACCCAGAGAGTGGGCAGGAAGTGAGGGGCTTCAGAGAGACTCTGGGGGAACAAGCAGCATGGGTCCACTGATTATGGGGAGCCTGCACCCTGAGGCAATTTGGTCTGTAAGGGTCCCCTCTGCCCCCCAATCCTGAGGCTGCCGCTGCAGAGTGCTCACCTGTCCCCGTCCTCCTCGATGCCATAGCCGCTCCTCTGACCCCTTTCCCAGTGACCTGTGTACTTGCAGAGCTGAGGGGCCTGTGGGGCACTCTCAAGGACCCCAAATCCATGCCGCAGGCCCTCCCAGAAGTAGCCTTTGTACACCTCATCAGTGCTGTACCTGGAGAGGGTCACCAACGGCTGACCCTGCCTTCCAGAGCTCATCCCAGGGGACATGCCTGTCCCACAGCCCCAACCCACCATCAGGCCGAGGTCACTTACTCACAGATGCCATAGCCACACATGCTACCTTTCCACCAGTGGCATTTGTAACAGTCAAACTTGTCCTCAGAGGCCTGTGGCACCAGGTGGATGCCAAAGCTGTCAGTGTGGGTGGGTAAGGAGGGAAGTCAGCACCCTGACCTGAGACACCCTATCACACCCCCTCCATGACACCAGCAGTGTCCCTGCCTCCAAGGGAGCTTCTCAATGGGCAGAATCTCATGGGTGCTCAGCCTCCTCTCCTTTCCGGGGGCCTTCTCAGGACCTCCCCCCTCCACCTCATCGTCATGCACCCTGGAAGCACCTTCTGGCCCTGGGACACTCCTTCCGTGGCCCACCCCACCCTGTCCAGGATTCAGCTCCCCTTTTGTAAAATAAGGGGAGCTGGACCAGATGGCCTCTAAGTTCCTGTTTAAAGTTTAGGAATTTAGGAGGCCAGGCTGGTGATGGGGTGTGAAAGCCACTGCCCTGCCCACACACCCCCACACCAGCCCCAGCCTTACCCGTGTTCCAGGCCCTGACAGAACTCCCCCACATGATGCCGTCCATCTGGCCACTTCAGGGTTCCTCTGAAACACAGTTGAGGTCCATGGACATCAGGTCCGCTATACCCGTCCTTCGGCATAGGGCCCCCAACCATCCTCTGCCACAGACTCACGGGCCTAGATTCCCCTGGACTGGACTCTCTGCCCCCACCCAGCCCTCTTCTCTGAGCTCTGTGACCCCACAGGGGTTCTTAGCCCTTCTCTATACTCCTGATGTAACTGCCCCAGCAGCCTCTCAGGGCACACTCACCACACCCAGTGGGAGAGCTCTGGACATAGCCAGTTTCCCTTTTTCCTCAGCTAGCAGGAAGTGCAGAGCTAAACTTCAAGCTCAAGACAAATGCTAATCAATGGGGGTTCTACCATCCTCCTTTCCTCTTCTGATCCAGTATTGTTTCTTCTGTCTTTTTGTTCATAAGCTTCCTCTACCTTTTCTAGAAGTGGGCAGGGTATCAGATGCTAATGGATACTCATAACCTTGGCAAGTCCCTTCTGCTTTCTGGGCCTTGGTTTCCGCAGCAGTAACACAGGGTGGGGCCACATGTTCTTCAAAAGCCTCCCTGCCTGTGGGGTCCTGGTGACCTGTGATTGAGGCCAAGCTCACCCTACAACCTGCCCTGAGGCCTTGGGCAAGACATGCCGGTATCTTGGCCTCTTCCTTACTCGTAAAATGGGTGATAACACTTCTCCAGAGCATTCTTGTAAGTAAGTAAGGACTGCTTAAGATAGGATGTCTACAATCCATTCCCACCACCAGCAGACAATGCTACATGGATACGAGAATTACTCTTCTGCCTTCCTGAGACAGGACAGCAACTGTAGGCCCTGTAGGTCTGCCACGTGATGCCTGCCTAGGCTCTCCAGCATCACCATCATCAAGACTATTTGGAACAGACCTACTAGGGGCCAGGTCCTGTCCAAGAGGACTCAGGAGAAACTCGGGAAGACAAACAGAATTGACCAACTGACCACAGAGAGTAACAGATTTGGCCCATGCCCAAAGCAGTTAGGGCCATGTGGTCCTACCTGTCCCTCAGACTCCCCAGAGGAACCCTGCCTTGCTCAACCTGGTGCCCCAGTCACTCACCTGCCATGGGGCCTCCCCCAGCACCACTCGCCCTCATAGGTGGCCTGGCAGAGCCGGCCCTCAGCACAGAAGGTGTATGCTACACAGCGGCAGGCGGGGGGTTTGGAGGGCTCCAGGCCCGCCCCCAGCACTGGGAAGCCCTTCTTCCCACGCAGGGCCTGGCACACAGCCTGGGTCATCTTCCACTGCCAGACCACCTGGTGGGGCAGGGAAAACACAGAACAGGTCACTGCTGCTGCAGGCAGGCCCCCTAGGAAGGCTTCTGGGGCAGCTCCAGGTACTGTCCCTTTCAATCCCCACCACAACCTGCCAGGTGGGGGAAACTCTAACTGCTTCACACTGCTCCCTAGAATGCTCCATCCAGACCTGAGATCCTCATCTGCAGTTTAAGGGCCTGCCCAGAAGGGAAAGACAAAACCTCAATGGGCCCCAATCCTGGCTTCAGAGAGAAAAATACCCTGTCTCTATAACATTTGATGCCTGACCCACTCTGACCATCGCCTCAGACGCCTGATACTCCCATGGAGACTCCTGAGTAATATACCTGTGCCTTCCACCTGCCCTTCTGTCACCTTCTCTGACACCTGACCCCTCCCCCAATTCATGGCTCATCCATACTCACCTGGCCTTGGGGGTCATTGGTGCAAAGGGAGAACTCTTCCTCGGGTGTGAGAAGGTGAAACGTGCACCTAGACAGATGGAGGCAACAAGCCCCAGCTTTGTCCTGAAGGATGTTAGGGGAGAGCCCAAGTCGGAGCCCTGGGGTACAGGCAGGTTTCATGGGGGTGGAGGGAGGGGAGGTCTGGGTGTCATTCGAGGGGGTTGCTTACCTGTCCTGTGCAGGATCTACCCACATCAGCTTCAGATCAAAGGTGTAGACATTGTGGCCCTAGAAGAAGATGGGACACCGGTGTTGTCCAGGGCCCAGAGGACATGTTCACCTACTTCTCTGGCCCGGCTTCACCCGCAAGCCCAGCCCACTGGCACCCTCCTGGATATCCCCAGGCTGCTTGGTCCAACAGGCCCAGAGCTGAGCCCCTCACCACCCTTGCCTGTTCCCCATCTCCAGGGTAGCTCCTCCATCCCCCTTCATGCCAAGGCCTGGCCAGGAACCTGGGATCAGCCTCCCTACCCCCCACATCCTGCTCCATCGTGGCCACCAGAGTGGTCTTCTGGAAATGCAGCTCAGGCCCTGCCAGCCCCTGTTGGAAATCTCACTAAGGCTTCTAGTGCCTGGGGGATGGAGACCTCACTGCTGAGCCTAACACCTGGGACCACACACACCACTCCCAGCTCTTGGCCACTCCCCACTGACACCTTCTAGAGCTGGCACCAAGCTCTCCTCGATCTCAAACTCTGCTCCTGCTGCACCTTCTACCTGAAATGCCACCCTGCTCTGACAGGCAGACTGAACATCTCTTCCCCCAAGAGATTTTGTATAGTGACCTCCCTCCTGGCCCAGACAGGCTGGTCACTGCCCCACAGCCACAGGAGGAGAGGTGCAAAAAGGCTCAGTGCACTTTAACTGACAGTATCTTGTCAGTGTACCCCTGGAGCCCAGAGTGTGAAATCAGTAGAGGAGAACTCAAACTGAGCCAGAAGCAACCCCAAAAACCAGCCTTCAGGAGACTGGTTTGAGCAGGGCAAGTAGCATGCCTCCCAGGCCTCAGCCTGTCTGCAGGGGAGTTATAGACTGACATTCTAAGAGGGCAGAGAAGATAGTGCTGTGGCTATCACAAGGGCAAAATGAGTTGAGGAGGACTAAACACCATCAGGGTTACTGGCCACATTACAACGCCAAACCCCAGGCTGGCTCTCTCCTGACTTCTGTAATGAGGAGAGCCCAGCCCTGGTCTCCACGCTGTTCTTCTCTAGGAGCCCTATGTGTACCCTGAGTGGTTCATCCAGCCCTCCTCAGCCACCCAGGGCCATCCAGGGCTTCCCATCTGGAGTTTCTCTCCTATGTGAGGACAAGAACTTGGAGTTGCCTGGCATCTGCAGCAAGACAAACTCATTCACAATTATCTCATTTTCTAGCTGAGGAAACCGAGGTGAGGACATTTAGCAGAGACGCCAGCTGGGAAAGGTTCAGGACAGGATGCATTTGAATCCACAGCCCACACTCCTCCAGGGGTGGTGCCTGCCTATGGCCCCCACCCCAGCACTCCACTATTCTGCCCCCATCACCTCCCTACCAGCCCAAGTTCTTGCTCCCAGCTGCTTATCTATCCTCCATTCCTCTTTTTTTTTTTTCAACCAGACCCCAGACCCCCACAGTGGCCCCAAGAGCTCTGGTCAGCTCCCAATCCCAACCTGCAGCAGGACCAGGACATCATCAAAGAGCAGCACACGCTCTGCCCGCAGTGGGGTGACTGTCACAGGTATGTCCCGACTGTCTTGCAAGAGTCGGCGAGCAGGGGTGCAGAGCACATCCTGGTTAGGTGAGGGGAGAGGCACAAGGCTCAGACACTCTGTTCTGGACACTGCAGTGTGGGTCGGTTCTGCTCAAGGTCTAGCCCAGGAAGTGCTCAGCAAATGGGTGACGGCTAGACCAAAGGACCTCACAGCCACCTGAGGAAACTGAGGCATGGAGAGTACAGCTCAAGCCACCCAGCAGGCCCCTGCCCAAGGGGAACTTCCCTGCCTGCCGCTCAGGCCACAAACTCACTCTTTGCCGGCTGCTCAGGGTGTGCCAGAGGGCCTGCGTGGCCAAGGCCTGGTCCAGCGCCTGCCTCACGAAGGACTGTAGGTTCTCAAACAGTGTGGCTGCGTGCACCGCCAGCTCCCAGGTGGGATGATGCTAAAAGGGACAGAGCAGCCACGGGAGGGGGTTGCTTTGTCAGAAACACGCTCCCACCCACCCCACAGTTGGCTGCCCCAGCCCTGGCCTGGCCCCAGCTTGTCGGAGGCATGGTTCTAAGCCAAAGATTTCCCTTTTCTCCCTACCGAGGCCTCCTCCGAGAAGGGGCCAGCATGAAGGTTCTTCCCAGGACCGCCCGATGACTCTCACACGCAGTACCTGATCCTATGTCTGCTCTCTGGGACTGTGCTGGCTCCACTAGGATGGGGCCATGTACCCTACATACCATAAGGCAAGGACACGGCCCTTCAGATGCCCCAGGATAGGGCCATGTCCCTGAGGCATGTCCAGGTCCTTCTCAAACCAGGCTCTTGAGTAAGACAGGTCCCCTGAGACAGGACTGTTTCTCCCTACCTCAGCTTCCCCTCATGAGCAGTACCTGGCCCCATGCTCTCCCACCACCTACCTTCCCGATGGTGTCCCTGAGGCTCAGGAGGAGGAGCACATATTGTTGCACGTGATGGGAGAGTGGCTGGCAGAGGGACTGGACCAGTGCTGTGCCCACCCGGCCCTCTGAGCCCACACCCGACAGGAGTTGCTGCAGCGCCTTCTGCTGGTCCCTCCAGTACTCGCTAAGTGGAAAGAGGGTCACACACCACTTTCACAGCCCCCTCCTCCATTCCCACACCCACCACCACACCCACTCACTTTCCCCACCCACCTACTTTGCTAATCCCCCAGATCCCAGAACCAGTCCCAGACCCCAAACCTCTCTCTTACCGGGTAAGTAATAGTGCCTGAATCACCCTATTGGAGATTTAGCAGCAAATGTCAGAGTTCAAAGAGATCATTGATTCCACCCACCCACCCTGGGTAGGACTGCCCTCCTGCCCTTCCCCAGGGTCAACCCTGGCTAGTAGGTATCTGGATTCCAGTCATGGCCTCACTGGGCTTCTCTCTCTCTCTTCCTGTGTTGATCAGTACAGAATTGTTAGAGCTAGGGGCACTCGGGCTGTGTCACTTCTCTGGGGACAGGGCTTCCCCAGCCCCTCCCTCCCAACAATCCCACCACTCATAGGCCCACTGTGCACTGTGCTCACCTCCTCCTCTTTGCTGCTTTCTGAAAGGCCTGCACCACCACGCAGTTCGTGTAGGACTCGATGTACCTGCAGGTAGCACAGGGGACACTGTGCGGGCCCAGTTCTCAACTCTCAACCCAAGCCCCTGCCTTCTGGGGTTCTGAGATCCCACTCTCTGAGTGGCTGGAGCACTGATGGCCCAGATGGTGGCCTGGCTCTGGGGACCAGAGACCTTCAGTCCTGACTAGCTTAACTAGACAATTCCAACTCACAAAGTCTTTCTAACCTGGGAGGCCCCAAGGCTCAGGTCTGGGATGTCTGAGCCTATGTCAGGCTATTGCCCAAGCCCACTGAGGCCAACCCCAGGAGAACACCACCCCAAGTTGAACTGAAACCTTTCTTCAGCCCTGACTCAGGTGAGCCCTAGTGCCAGGTGGCTTCCTGATACCCAGGCCAAACCCTAGCCCTTCCGCACTGTCTTACTCTACATGGACCTGCACAACATGGTCAGCGCTGCGCAGCAGTAGCAGGGATTCCAGACCAGTGGAGTCCAGGGGGCACAGCCTCTCCCGCAGTGAGTGCAGGCTTTCCTCTGTCACCTCCCAGAGCTGCTGGAAGCTCCGGTGCAGCTGCTGCAAGAGCCGCAGGCACTCTCTGCCCTGGGGGTCCGAGGGCTCTGGGGCTGGGGCAAAAGCACAGCCACACTGTGAGGGGCCAGGACCGCTCCCCCTTCCAGGGCACAGCACCCACAGCTCAGGATCTGCAGCCAATCTACAGCATTCCTGGGGCCGAGACAGGTTTGGAAGCCACTGTGCCCCCTTGGGCTCAGCAGGGGACAGGTAGGTTGGAGAGGTGGGCAGCACCCTCGAAGAGTAAATGCAGGCACATGTCCATTACCTCACTAAACAGGGACAACACTGATGACCTAAAAGGCACTTAGTACATGAATTCCTCCTGAGTCTCTGGGCTTCCCCGGGTCCAGAATATGGAGTCCATAGGGCCCTGCAGTCCTGCCATTCACAGATCGCAGACAGAGACCCCAAGGAAAGGTATCTGCCCAAGATCACTTCACCAGGAAGACCCAGGCTGGAAGTAAAAGCTGAGCATCCTGCCTTCCAGTCGTGCCCTGGGTGAGGGCAAGATGAGAATTCAGGCAGAGAATGCAGACCTGAGCCCTGGGAGAGGTAGAATTTCAGCATTATGCACAGAGGTCTAGGCTAGAGCAGGGCTCTTGGCCTGGTCCCTCAGCATCCCTTGGATGGGGTGGCAGCCAATAACTGATGCCACAAATGGCAACAGAAGATGTCAATACCAGTGTCACCACCTGCACATGAGGTTGAAAATGCTGCAGGGCAGAATGCCCAACAACGTTGGATTCTTTTCACTGGGACAGTTCCTGTTTCCCCCACCTTCCCCACTGAGAGCTGAGACTCACCGGCCTTGAGCAGGGGCTGGAGCACAAGGCTGTTGATGCGGGCAAGGGTGGCCAAAAAGACCTCCTCTAGCCGCAGGAGAGTCGCCTCCTCAGGGCTGCACATGGCCAGGGTGCTACACTCAGGGCCTGTGAATGGGGCACAGATCAGGGTGAGACAGCACCACTGGGCGCAGGGCGAGTGCCCACAGACTCAGGCTGTGTGCCCAGAAGTAAGGCCCATGTCTAGCCCCCATCAGAGTTGAGCAATGAGCCCAGGGTGCCTCAGAGAGGAGTTCTTGGACTGGCTACTAACCCCTGGCCAGCTCTGTACCTGGGCCCAATAGAGGGGAGCTTAAAGTAGGAGAGAAGACTCAGAACAGAACTGCCAAGGGAGGCATCCTTTTTACCCAAAAGGCAGATGCTCCTCCAGCCCACTTCTGGCCTGCTTATTCCCGTGCTCTCAAACACCTGCCATGGCTCTGAAGGGCTCAGGCTAGAATCTAGTGGCACTCTGACCTACCCCCTCTCCACTGAACCTCTGGAAACAAGGACACACTGTCAGAGGAGCCAAGAGCCTTTTTCTTACAGGCATTCCTGCCCCACCCTTCCTGCTTACCCTACCTGTGTAAACAAGGAAAGGTTTGGGAGAACAGCAGGGGTTTCCTGCTGGAGCCATAAGCAATGCGCAACAAATAAAGAGGCAGAGAGGAGGACAGGCATGCAGGTGGGGGAATCATGAGAACAAAAGACACCCAGCATACAGGCCCAGGCTTTGCAGGTGGCCTAAGAGCAGCCTAAGTGGCTGACAGAGTTGCCATGGAGGACCTCACAGCAAAGGCATGGTGGGATACAAAGTCAGAACTGGAGAGATGGACTTGGTGACAGGTACAGGAGATGCTAAGCAGTGAGAGGGTGAGGTCAATGTACAAGAGCCAGAACCACCATGCCCCACCCCAACCCGACTGACCTTGCTGGATGGATCCTACTTAAGAGGTGGGGGCTGTGGGAGTGGGCAGGTGGGCTTACACCTTCGGACTTCCTGCCCTGGAACAAGGGACCCTTCAAGCAAGCAGGGATCACCTGGCAATTGGGCCTCCTGACTGGAGGAAGGAGCAGCAAGGGGCCTGGGCTCAAACCCACCCCCACAGTCAAGCTGTAGCCTCCAGTCAGACACAGGCCTCCCCCACCAGACCTGGGGCGTGTGCCCTCACCTGGCAAAGATCATCTACCCAGATAATCTGACCAGATGTCTCAGGGTTGAGAGTTAGAGGGTCTTTGAGTCCAAGACCCACAGGCTCTGCCTCTCCTTGGCTCTGAAACTCTGAGACTCTGGCATTAGCTGACCCAGGTAGGGCGGTAATATAAATGAGGCAGCCAGTGATGGGCAGGTGACACAGGCAGACCCAAAAGGGCAAACAGGAGAGGGTCTCATTCCTCCCCACCCAGCCCCCAGGACACCAAAGGGTATTCCAAGCCCCTGGCAGAGTCAACAATTCCCAGGGAACTGGCTATGGGGCAGTCTGGGGTGGGTGCCTCAGAACTCTGGCCCAGCGCTCTGGCCCAGGCATTCCTGCCCCACCCTTCCTGCTACTGTTGCACCAGGAGGGCAAGGTCTTGGGAGTAAGAGGTAGGAAAGGAAGCCACTGGAAGCCCAGCTGCTCTGCTGGCCCCTGCAGCAGCCTCGGGTGGGGGCAGGCTGCTCCCAGCCAGCTCAGGCAGACCAGGAGAGCCCAGCCAGGGGGTCAGGGGTGCAGCACGTGGGACTGGGCCCACCTGTCCCTCATTCTTATCTCCAAAAACTGATGGAATGAAAGTCCTTTGTGGGGTGACCTTCCCACCCTCAGCTGGCAGTCAGTCAGCTGGAGCCAGAGCTGATTGATGATGACACTGGCTTAAGGTTGGGAGGTACTGTCAGGATGGGAGGAGGTACAGACCAGGAACCAGATCAGGGCGAGCTGGAGACCTGCAGTAAATAACTTGCAGCTGGGAGGCCTTGAACACCAGATCTCCCACACTTACACCCACTAGGGCGCCCACCCCAAACCATGCCACACCCAGGACTCTCTGCCCTCTCCACCTCATGCTACTTCCCCCTCTAACATGGGCCTGGCAGCTGCTCCCCACCCGAGACCGATGACCCACATCTCATCTGCCCCACAGGACCCTCTTTTGAGTGTCCATGCAGCTATTCGGCTCTGGCCGTGCCCCAGCTCGTGCAGAGGCCTGCTCCTCTCTGGGCCTCAGTCACCTCCTCCATGAAATGGGGTATCCAACTAAATCAGAGCTTTTCAAACTATTTTGGTCCTCCCTGAAAAGGATAACCAGGTGGAGGGGAGCTGCTCTGAGTATGGGGACCTGGCCCTCAGCCTCCCTTACCTCTCAAAGCAGTCTGGGGCCCCTCAGGATGCATCATACAGTCCCAGATTGGCAGACACTACTCTAGGACCCTTCCAGGTTTGTGGCCCCAAAGGGATCTCTAGCCCTAGGAAACTGAGTCACACTGCCTGGCAGGAAGGCTAGAAGTTAAGATGTCTGGTGAGGTGAGTGGGAGAAAGGGCTGCAGTTGAAGCTGGGAGTCTGCTCTGGTGGCCTCTGCTCCCAGGCTAGGGAATCTGAGCTTCATCCTGGAAGTGATGAAGAGTGTGTGAGGGCAGGGCCAGGCCAGACATGAGCATGCATGGGAGTTGGGGTGGGGGCGGGGATGCTGAATCCTAACAGGAAGCACCCAGTAAGAATACAACCCTCTCAAACTCTAGTACCTCCCCCAACCCACCCTTTCTGGTCAAGGGCATGCATGGCTTCCTTACCCTCTCCCTCCATCCAATTCTAAGGTTTCTTAGTAGTAGACTGTACATGATGTACATATGGAAAAACTGAGGCCCAGGAAGAAATGGAGGATACAGAGACACTATCTGTAGAGATGTACAGGGCTCAGACCCAGGCCTCTGGCTCCCCAGTCCCACCAGGCTTACCTGAGCTAGGTGGTTCAGAAAGGCTGGGAGACTCACCACCCCTCCACCCACCCCCACATAGCAAATTCCTAACAGGGCCCAGCCTCCTATATTCCCAGGCAACCTTGATGCTCATCATGGGTCAGGATGTGGACAGAACTAGCTAGTCTTGGCGTGTTCAGGTGAGTCAGCTCTGTCCCCGTGGCCATCTAACCAGCAGCCAGACCTGCTCTCTTCCCTGCATTCTCGGTGGCTGTCTACACTGGGTCCTTCTTAGGCAAGGGTCCCTGAGGCCTTCCCCGCCCTCTCCAAGGCGTGGCCCCTCAGCCACACCCTATCATGGAACCCACTCTGGTATTTCCTGGTCTGGACAGGCAAGGAAGTTCTGCTTGCTTTGGGAGCTTTTTCCTGGGCTGCCCTGGAGCAGTCTTGATCAGCCAGCAAGCCCAGTGGTAGCTAGAGGAGAATGGGGCCGCGGAGGGAAACAGTGCTGACCTGTCACAGCTGACCCCTCTGCCTCGCCGCCTGGTACACTGCCCCTCTGCAGCTCCAAGTTTCCTGTCCTTGATACCCTCCACTCCCAGTCCCTCTGGTCGCATATTTCACGGCTACCCTTCCTCTCCCTCCCCAGGCACATACAGTCACTGGAATTCCCCAAACATGGCATCTGTTCCAGCCACCAGACACTTGCCCACACACAGTTCTCACTGCAGGCAACACCAGGGTGAGTCTCCTTCTCCCGGGGGTCTCAGGCTGGGTGAGGCCCCGTGGCCCGTGCACCAGGGCCCAGCCCAAGCCCTTGGGCACTGCGCTCAGGCGGTGCACGTCCCTGTGCTGCCTCAAAACCGGAGACAGGTGACCACGGGGCAAGGAGGATGAAGCTGAAACCCGCTGGTGGGGAGGAAGCCTTCGCGAACTCGGACGACCGGGTGTGGGTGCGCCGGGAACCAAGGAGCCGTAGAGGGACCACCGGAGGGGACGCGGAGGTGAAAGTCCCACGCGGAGCAAGGAGAGCTAGGAACAGAGAAGCCCGCCCACAGAAGAACGATCCCCCCCCACAGCGCCCTTACCTTGCGGTGCGAGTCCGACAGCTCAGCTGCGACGGTCGCCGCCACCTCCTACACGCCGCCGGCCCCGCCCCCCAGCTCCGGCCCCGCCCCCCGCCTGGGACGTGTGGGAGAGGGGCCCGCCTGGAATGAGGCGGGGCAGGGCGTCCCTCCGCCCTGCGCCCCAGGGGCTCTCCTGAGGGAGGTCCCTCTCCTGTGTCCTCTAGCATCCGAGGGCTCCTGGGACAAAGCAGGGTGAAGGCAAGGGGCTTGACCCCTCCACCCCCGCCGTACCCCCGCCACACACATAAACGCACACACAAACACACACTCACACCCAGGCTCGCCTCGCTTCCCGGCAAACGTGTCCGGGCAGCGGCCTCGGTTTTCTCTTCCTGGCGAGGACCTTCCCAGTTCCCCTCACCGCCCTTGCCGATTCCGACCCTCTGCAGGCCTGGGTGCAGCCCCATGACATCCTCAGCCGGCACCGGGTCAGAGGGGCGTGTAGGAGCAGAGCGCTGGGTGGGTTCGTGTAACTTGCAGCAGAGTAGGGTACACAGAGGCCATCCCTTGCATCAGGCATTCGGCAGCGGCTACTCCTCCCTGGGTGACTTTGGGGAAGTCCACCTGCCCCCACTCCTGGGTCTCAACATAGCCCAGCAGAGTGTAAAGCCAAAGGTTGTCTATGCCAGGGCATGCGACCTTGGAAAAGGTTAGCGGAAGCCAAGTCACTGCAGGCCTCCCCGGAGGGGGTGGGGCTGTGGTGCTCTCCTGTAACAAAGGAGCCCACTGTCCACGGCCTGGTCCCCATCTGGCCACCGGGCCTGTCCCCCATCACTTCCCATAATTGGCAGGTTCCAGGGGGTTACCAGCATCACTACCCCTTTCACAGCTGACAACACAGAGGCCAGCAGGCCCCTGTCCAGAGACAGGCAGTGGAAGTGCACAAAGGTTGACCCACCAACCTAACACAGTGGGAGGTTGCCTCATCCTGACAGGCTGAAGAGAGATCCCCAGCGGAAAGGGGTTTATGATGGGTTTGCGGTCTTCCTTCCTAGAAGTGAGCCCTCTAGCACATGGGGGTGGGCAGGCAAGGGGTTTCTGACACCCGGGAGGAAGGGCAGAGGGCTGGGGAGTGGCCATGGCCACATGTAGAGAAAACAAGCTGCCCAGGAGCGGGGATCCTCACCACTTCTGACAAACAGGGCAGGTGGGGCAAGGCACTGAGCAGGATGGACCGATCATGCTGGCTGTCTCTGGGCCAGCCCTTCTGTTCTCTGGGCCTGAGTTTCCTCATCTGTACCTGTCACTGAGGAATGGCAGTGCTGCCTGGGCTCAGGCAGGAAGGAAGGGCCCCCTTTGCTGTGTCCCCAGAGCTCAGACTTTCTGTTCAGCCACATCTAGAGTATTTGGAAGACTGGGGGGCCAGTCTCCTTCACACACTCACCACTCACTGGATCACCTCATGGGCATTGCCAACCCTAGTTTTATTATCTGCCAAATGGGGCAGTTCCTGCCCAGCCTCTCTCCCAGCTTGTCCTTGGTCTGGGGCCATGTAATCTGTAGTGACTTTAGTAGTGCCCAAAAGACAGCCTTGACTGGGTCCACCTGCCCTTGGGCCCCTGTGACACAGTCACAGGTGAATGGGTAAACAAACTGTGGTATATTCATGCAGTGGAATGCTAGTCACTCAGCCTATAAATACTACACTCTCCAATATATACACAATGAACTACCGATACATGCAATAACATGGATTAAATCTCAAAAACACTGTGCTGAGCAAAAGAAGGTAGATAAAAAGAGTACGTAACTTTGTGATTGTTTATGTGAACCTCTAAAAACAGTAAACCTCATGTCTAGTGATCAAAAACAGATCACTGGTTGCTTGAGCCAGAGGGAGGGACGGTTGACTGAGACGAGGTACAATGGAACTTTCTGTCTGCGATGATGGAAAGGCCGTATTGCTTAATTGTGGTGGCAGTTACACAGATGTGTATGTCAAAAATCAAAATGTACATGCATAATGATGTATGTAAATTATGTACCCTCAATAACCTTTATTAAAATGCACCCAAAATAGGGCATCACTTCAACTTTTGTCTTAAGCTTGCCTTCATCTATACCACAAGAACATACTATGTCTGGAGAAAACATACAACCATCTTCTTAAATATATTCCAAACTAAATTAATGAAATGGTATGAAAAGCTGTGGACCTCATATTCCTTAGGCTGCTCAAATATAGTTTATCTTCCTTGAGCTTGGTTTCTTTGTTTTATGCGATAGACTAACACCAGGGCCTTATCCTTGAAATCAACATCAATATTATACGTAAAAGTAATATGGCAAGGTCTCTCTCAATATAATGCCACTCAAAGAGTCCAAGCGAGCCTTCCTCAAGCTGAAAGACATTATCAAAAATATCATTAAGAAACAATTCTATTCCTGACTTAAAACACAGCCTTGTCCTTAAGGCTAGAAATAAGCATTGTTTAAGGTCAAAGCTACAGAAACCATAAACAAATTTTATAACAACATCCTTTTAGATAGCAGTTATATAGTTCATATCCAACAAGAGGATATGAAATTGTCAGTTGATGCAGTATGTATTTAAAACAAATAAACTTAATCTAATAAGTTAATTTTAAAAAGAACATATATAGAATGCTAAAACATGTACTAGGGAACAGTGCTTCATACATCTCATTTAACCTAACAATGATGTTATCATCCCCTTTTTATATATGGGGAAATTAAGTAACTCGGCCACAGTGACTCAGCTAGTAAATTACTGGATAACCCAAACTCTTAACCACTGTGTTTGCTCCTCTTAAGAAAGTAACGCTCTATTCAAAGGTTAACTTCAGATGCATTAAAGACCTAAATATGAAAGGTAAAAGTACAAAACTATTAGAATAAAATCTAGGAAAATATTGTTCCAATTTATGGACCAGGAAGGATGTCTTATTGCCCACAAATTAAAAAATTTGACAGATTTAAGTACATTAAAATTAAGGATAACTGTACCATAGTCAGCCAAATATTTGCCATGTCTTAAACCACCAAGGGACTGCTATCTCAAACACACAAGGAATTCTGGGAAGCAAGTCAAAACCCAACCAAAAGGAAGGGCAAAGGGCATGAAAAGATCAGATGTGAAAAGAGACACCCAAAATGGCTGGTGGGGATATGAAGAAATGATTGACCTCCCTCATAAACAGAGAAGTACATATTACAGCAACCATGAAAACCTATTTAACAACAGTTAAATCAGTAAAGGGTAGGATCATGTTGCACAATACCAAAAGCTGGCAAAAATGTAAGAAAGTAAGAATTTCTATACCTTGTTGGTGAGGGTAAAAATTGGTGAAGCCGTTTTAGAAATAATCTGGCAGAACTTAGTGAGACTGAATATGTGATATTTAACATAAACCTGCAACAGCAATATCGTGTGTGCCTGTATATCCCCAGAAAAACTTTGCCACAGCCATTAGCAACATCTAGAAAGATGCTTATTACAGAATTATTTTTACCGAAGAGTAGGAGTCAACCGGCACACCCATCACTAGAGGAACTGGTAATTTGTGCTAGAGCAAATGCTGAAATATTGCACAGTTAGAAGCAATGAACTGGATGTACATACATGAACAGAGCTCAAAGAATGCTGAGTGAACAAAGTAAAATATATAGCAAAACAGCAGTTATGTAGATGCCACACACACAAAAAACTACGCTATTTACAAGGATAGAGACATAACCAAGAACATACATAAAACATGTTACATTGGGTACAAGTGAGGATTGGGAAGGATAGAGTGAATGGTGGTTGAGAATGGGAATTAAAAGGAAAAACTGCAATCCAAAGAACATCCCTCTAAGCAATACTCTATACAACTCAAATATTTTCTTACAGTCACATCAACTATCTGAGATGACTGTGCATTCTACACATCTTGGTCTCAACTACGATAAATTTGAAAATTCATGGCATCTAGTTCTCAGTTGTTACAAATGGTCTAATAAAAGGAATACTGAGCTCCGAACCTGAAAAAGCTGTAACCTAGTCCAAGCTAACTAGTACTAAGCACCTTAAGCAGTCATTTTATCTATGTAATCTATTTTCTTATCTGCAAAATGGATTTGGATTATTCTCCAAATTCCTCCAGCTCCAAAATTATTTCATTAATTTTCTTAATATTTATTCATATGCAATTACTTTCTCTCCTCCAACTACCCCCCTCCCAGAAAAAGAAGCAAAAAACAAGAGTATCAAAAGAGGGTTGAGACCCCACCGTTTCCTGGACTTGCCATAGGAATGAGGAGGGAGATGTCTAGGCTGGCATGTGCATACAGTGAGACAACGAATTTGACTAGATCTGTACTGTTGGAACTCAACCAGGAGTTGGGAGGGGTGCAAGGTGTAGCACTCCAAAATCTTATGACTATAGACCATCTACGGTTAAAAGGACATATAGGAGGTGAACAGATCCCAGAAATGGGCTGCTTTAATTTG